TAATAGGATTTTAAAGGTGCCCTCTACCTCTAGGTATTTGCCTTAGAGAATCCTGCCCTTCGTACCAAGAGATGGATAAAAGGATGCTCAGTGCCACAATGGAAGTAGTACAGGAAAAAACTTGGAAGGAGTCATACCAAGACACTAAATCCATGATAGTGGTTGCCTCTGGGGGGAGGGACTAGAAGTTACCTCGAGCCAAGACACACAATCTTTTAACGACTTTATCTATAAACTTTTATTTCTTTTATTAACAAAAAGAAAACATGAAGCAAAGATGAGAAAATATTAATGATTATCATTTCTAGTGGTAGATACATGGACGGTGATTATAGTAATCTCTGTATTTTTCTAGACTTAAGAAAATTTCTTAGAACACCATGAAGTAAAATTTAGACTTTATCCTATAGGTCAGAGTTCCCAAGCATGTTCCACTAGTTCAGGTGGGTAAAGGGTTCTGCAATAAAAAGGCTCCAGAAATAAACAGGCCTGGGAAATGCTATGTTAAGCAGGTTTCTTTATGACAGAACTTCTCAGGGCCTTTAATATGCTAACATGCATTTTGAATCTCCAAATTTGGGGGGAATGAGGAATTGAGAACACAATTTCCCAAACTGACTTAACCACTGCACCATTCCTGCACGAGCCATTGATGTTCCAATGAACAGACTTCGAGAACCTTAGTTATTAGCAACAAGGTCTTGCTGAAGGATTTTAAGCAGAAATAATGTGAGATCTGCTTCCTTGAAAGATCACTCTGGCAGCAGAAGAAAGAATGTACTGATGGTAAGATAAGAGGAAGGAGAGGAATTAGGAGGCTACTGCAATGGTCCTTTTACTTGTTCAAGTATTCATTCAACATGTATTTTTGTTTTGTTTTGTGTGCTTTGTTTTGTTTCAACATGTATTTTTGAGCATCTCCAAAAGTCCGAGAGATGGGGAAGCATGGACAGGTTAAAAAATGTAAAGGGAGGTGAAGTACAGAGTAAAGGGAAGCATTTAGGATGACTTCTAGGTTCCTGGCCCAGGTGAATGGAGGTGACATAAACTAAGGCTGGAAATATAGGTGGTTACACAAGTTTGAGGGGAAAGTTCTGGCTTTGTGAACTTCAGATTATCTGTGGGTCATCCAAATAGACCCAAAGGCGGAGGAGTTAGAAACACAAGGCCTGTGGTCAGAGGAGAGTCTGGGCCATAGGTAAATTTGGGAGGTACGTGGAGAAAAGTGAAAGCCCAAGAGTCAACAGAAACTTATAGCAAAGCAAATAATGGTAATAAAAGCAACTAATATTTACTGAGTGCTGGGTTAGTGCCAGGTGCTGTACTCATGACGTTTCATGGACTTATTCATCTAATTGTAAGAGGTAGGAATACAACCATCTCCAGTTTATTTATGAAGAAACCCAGGTGGACAGAATCTAGGTAACTCATCTTAAGTCACACAGCTAATAAGCAAACAGAAAGAGGAGACCCACCAACATTTAAACAGTGGGTGGGGAGAGAGGAGCCCCTGATGCAGCACAAAGAGGAAAATGTGGATAGGTTGGGCTGAAGCAGGAACAGGCTGTGTCTTGGAAGCCAGGGGAGTAGGAAGTTCAAGAAGGAGAGAGGCACATGGGGCCAGGTGCCACCAGGAGGTCAGTTAAGATAAAGACTGAGAAATGACTCCTGGATTTGGCAATTCTGACGTCCTTAGTGGCCTCTGTGAGAACAGTCTCAGTGGGGAAGGGGAGCCCAACTGGGGTAGGTTGAGTAACCCATAGAAAGCAAGAAGTGGAAACTCTGAAAGACTTCTAGCTGAGAAGGCAAGGTGAGAGAAGGCAAGCAAACCAGAGGGAGACCAACGGGCCAGGTCTAAACTATAACAGTGAGTACAAAAAGTCAGAGCATCAACAGCTCCCGGTTACTAAGGACTCCCTGCATCCTAAGCACTTTCAATTGATGGCTTCAGCTGATTCTAAGAGGGAGGCATTCCACAATCACTAACTCACTGAGGGAGGTAGCAACAACTATTACCAGCCTGTTTTAAAGATGAGGAAACTGAGGCACAAAGAGGTCACGTACCCTGCCCAGGCGATACGGCTAGTAAGTGGCCAAGCCAGGCTATGATCTCAGGTACTCTGGCTTTTAAACTTTCTAAATACAGGCATGTGCAGGAAAAAGTAAAACCTACGTTTTAGGCTGTAAGAATAAAGTACAGTGTTTTGTACATACTAAACATAATTTTTTGAAGTTTATTAAAAACTTTCAAAGTCAATTCACTAAATATTAATTTAGTTCCTACTGCCAGGCCCCTGGAGTTACATTGTGAACAATGACAGATACAGGACTGGTGGAAGACATAAAGAACATGCAAGAAATTACATGATGCTGGGCTTCCCATACTAAGGGACCCCTTGATGAGGTGAGAGGCAGTGCCGGAGCCAGACTGCTCCGGTTTGTGGCCCTGGACATGTTATTAACCAACTTGTGCCTCTGTTTCTCCTTCAGAACTGATAATAGCAACCATCACCTCTGACCAATGGGTGGGACCAAACAAGGCTGGAAATGGAGTCTGGAGGTTCAGGTCACAGGCTCAGGAGTCAGAGAGACATGGGCTTGAATTCCAGTCTACTACTCACAAGCTGTGTGAGCGTGGGTAGTTACCTAACCTCTCTAAACCCATTTCCTCATAGGGATGTGATGAGAAGGAAAAGAGCTAATCCTGATGCAGTGCTCAGAAACAGTGCCTGGCAGACAACAGGTGCTGGATAAATGTTAGCCAGTTAGCCAGGGAAGACAGTTCTGGCGGGGGGCGGGGTGGGGGGAGGTAGGGCAAACTCAGAGGGGTGGGAGGTAAAGCCTACAGAAAGACTTGGGGTCAAGCAGAGGTGAGCCGGATTAGGGAAAGGTGGACAAGGGTCAACAGCAGGAGGTACTCACATTGGTGAAAGGAGGCTTGTGATGCTGGTACTCAATCCAAGGAGGTACAGCCAGGGTGCGGTTCAACAGCTTTGCAAATGCCAGGGAGCCCAAGAAATGATCAGCCTGGTTCCCAAAGCGCCCTGGATGGTATATTGCAGGTGAAGTGAGGACTACGGCATCGAGGGCTTGGGGCATGCAAGGCTCAGAAAGGATGCAGAGCCAGGAGTGTGGAGGGCCAGGACACCAAGGAGAGCCAGGGGAGCTGGCAGCATGGGATCACGTCTGGACTCCTGGGTCTGACAGTCAAGGCCCTTCAGGCCCTGCCTCTTCTGCCTCAGCCACTCCAGGTTCTTTGCTGTTTCCCAAACATGCTCTACACTTCCCATCCCCACCCCATGCCTTTGCTCTTGCTGTTCCATCAGCCAGGAGTGACCTTCTACTTCTATTTCCTCCCATCTGCATGTGAAGGGGTAACTCCAATGCCTCACTCACTGGGATCCTTTCACTACCCCTCTGCCACATTCAGTTCCCCTCCTCTGCCTCCCACCTTGGATATGAGTTACTTGCGGTTCTTCACTCTTCCTAGAATGTCCTTTCCCATTTCCCGGCCTTTGGCTGTTTCCTCAGCCTGTGAATGCCCCAGGTGCAAGGTCCCTGTCTGACTCTTTCTGTTATCCCCAGCATGGCATCCATTCATTCATTCCACAAAGACTGTTGAGAGGCCACAACGTGTCAGGCTCTCTGCTAGGTGCTGGGACACAGGAGTGAGCAAGAAGGACAAGGTCTCTGCCTTCAAGGCATTCACAGGCCAGGTAGGGGGACAGTAAACATATAAACAAATATACAGTGATAAATTTTGATAAGTTCAAAAATGAAGTGAAAAAAGTTTGGTGATGGAGAACAATGAGGAGGAGATTATTTGGGTTGAGGTCAGTGAAGTCTTTTCTGGTGACATTTAAGCTGTGGCCTGAGGATGGGAAGGAGTTGGTCTGGCACAAGGCAAGGGGAGGGTGTTCCCCGGCAGAGGGACTAGCACAGGCTGCAGGACCTGAGTATGTGTAAGGAACAGAAAAGGGTAACTGTGCCTGCAGCTGGAGGGTCTGGGGAGAAGGGTGTGGTGGAGATGATGCGCAGAGGGCAACATCATCATGGTTAGGAGTGTGAAGGATTTTAAGAAGAAATAACTTTAACAGTGACGATCCACCACTCCCATTTAAATTGCACTCCTAAGCCAGCTTTTAGATTCTCCCTTACCCTGCTCTATTTTATTTTCCCATAGCACTCATCCATAAATATTATGCAGTTACTTATTTTTTATATTTATCTTTTATGGTCTGTCTTTCCCAACTAAAATGAAGGCTCTACAAGGGCCTGGAGCTTTCTGTCTTATCACCACCGTATCCCTGGAGCAGAGAACAGGGCTGGGCACACAGTAGGTGCCCTATAAATACGTGTTGAATGAATGAAAGAATCGCCCAGAGCCAGCGTTGGGTCAGTGCCATCAAGTCCTGCCCCACTAACTCCATTTACTGGACTCAGGGCTGGCTTAGGCCTTGCGCAAGACACATCGTAACCTCTCCTGGCCTCAGTTTTCTCATCTGCCAAACGGAAGGTTGGACACAGAGGTCCCTTCGGTGCCCTTGCAACTGGGGCAGAAAGGTGAGGAGCAGGCCCTGCCCCGCGCTGGGGTCCTTTCCTGGACCTGTCAAGGCGTCTCTGGGCGCCTCAGAGAAATTGCTTCTCCTCTCTGGGCCTCAGTTTCCCCATTTGGACAGAAGGCTCGGGAGGCCTTACCCATGCATGGGCAGTAGAGCAGGTAACCCGCCGGGTCCCAGGAGCCCACGGGCAGCCCCGGGAACGGCAGAAGCAGCAGCAGGAGAGACACACGCGGCGGCAGGGGCGACGATGCCCACGCGGCGGCTCCCATATTGGCCCCAGAGCCAGGGCGCTCCGCGGCTCGGAGGCGGGGAGGGAAGGAAGGGCGCGAGCGTCCGCCCCGCTCCCGTCAGCCCCCGCGCGCCGCCCGCGCGCCGCTCCGGCCGCTCTAGCCGGCGGGCAGGCGGGACCATAGAGAGCCCGCGGCACCGCCCCCTCCACGGGCAGAACGCCCGCTCGTGCGGCTCCCAGAATGCACCGCACAATGGCCCGACCGCCGCCACTACCGGGGCCTGAGCGGGCCTGGCGGAGCCCGAGCGCGGCCCGGCCCGCAGCGCGGGGCCCGGAGCGCGGTGAGTGTGGCCGAGGGCCCCGGGGGACGGCGGGGAGCGGGGCGGGAGGCAGTCTCGCTGCACCCGCGCGCCCGGCGCCCGGAGTGGCAGCGCCCCTCATCTCTGGCCCCTCAGCACGGTCGCCCACACCCCCGACCCGAGGCCCCCTCTGCGCCAGCCCGGCCCAGATAGGCCCCAGGGTGACGAAAACTTTCCCCGGACCCGATACCTGGGTCTGGGGGACTTGAAGAAACCCCGCTGGCCCCCTCCCTTCCGAGACCTGGAGCCTCAGCCCTGGGGGGGGGGTCCCCACTCCCGACCCCGCAGGCTCCCTGGAAACCCAGATAACGCGCTGCTGACCTTACCAGGGACCCGGGTCTGGGGGACGCAGATAAGCTGCACCTGCTCTCTCCTCTCAGACACGCCTACCCGGACCCACATAACCCCCTTTCCTGCTCCAAATAGTTCGGTCCTTCTTCTCTGTTTCATTTCCCAGAACCACATAACCCCTTTTGAGGCTTCTCCCAATTATTTGGTTCTGGGGAACCCAAATAATTTCTACCTATAGTTCCCTCCTCGGCGATCGTACTCCCAAACTCTAGACAGTTTCCACCCGGTACCATTTTGAGACTCTTGAAATTCAGGGAATTCGCTTTTATCTTCAGCCCCTTTAACCCTCCATCCCATGTAATCCATCCCCCACCCCCCACCGTCTCTCTTTCTTTGCGGAGGGTGGAGTGGGGGTCTCTTAGGGATCGAGATAACTTGCTCCTCCCTCCCTTCCATTCCTGAGACCTCCAGACTTCTTCCTGAATTTCTGTCCCTGGTCCGGCAGCCGTCTACCCCCAGCCCTCCCAGCCCAGGGGCGTTTAACCTTTCCCCCCATGCAGTATGGTGGTCTAGAAACGAACCAGAAGACAGGCTATCCCCTGCAAATCCTGTCCTGGCCCCATCTCGGTGGGGGAAAGGGACTTGTAAGGTGCAAGATAAGGGGACGTCGGGTGTGGGGAGTTGGTACTTTCACCAGCAAGTGTTCCTGTGACCTGGCCTGTGTGTTTTCCCACCTGTCTGCCTGGGACTCTGAAAGAGTCTCGCCTGGGGTTGCTAGCCCTACCGCCCAAGGTGAGGCCACGGGGTTGGGAGGGGGGTGTCTAATCAGGTTTCCTCTTGGTGAAAATGGGGCTGTTGTGAATTGCAGCCATTTGCTCAAGGCCTCCTTAGGAGTGGGAGGCAGCGGGAATCAGAGGAAATCATGAATCAAAAGGACTCCAAAAAGGGTCCATCTACACCGATAGAAGAACTAGCAGCCCCTGTTAATCCTGTTTGATGTCTCCTGGAATGATGCAAGTCATTGAGACGCTCCAGCCTCCCTGTAATTTAATTCTCCCCCCCACTCTGGAGTGTATGTGTGTTTGTGTGTGTGTTTTGGTGGCGGGGGGCAGCTATACCCATTTCCCCCTTTCCTTCTCACTGTTCTCCAGTCAGTCAGTGTGTCTTTTGGATTTGTTTCTGATGCCCAGGTCAGGACCTGTTTTTTATCTCTAAGTCTATTTATAATTTCCCAGTTGCTATTTTGGGTTCTGCTTAAGGGAAGATTGTGTCCACTGCAAGGAAAGTTCCTGGGTGTGTTTCCTCCTCGGCAGGTGTTGAATTGAGTTCTTCAGATCCCCAAGTAGCTCTTGGGCAGCAGGGATAAAAGCTATTTTAGGGTAGTCACTGAAGTGGAGCTGTTAATCCTCTGTGGGTCTCTCTAGTTAAGAACACTTACAGATTAACCCTTTCCTTGGTGCAGGGGCGCTATTTCTCAACAGTTTTGGGGGGAGGTTTGAGAGAATTCAACTGTGGCAGCAGAAGGTGGGAACATGCAACTCTATACAAAGGCAAAGATAATAGCTGCCTTTTGTTGGGTACTTAGAGCAAGCCAAGCCCTGTGCTGAGTCCTTTGCATACCTGACTAAAATAATCCTTACAACAAGCCTGTGAGGTAAGTATTTTTAGTTTTACAGATGAGGAAACAGGCTAATAATGGAGAAAGAACGCAGTCTCTATAGAGATGATGTAACACCATAAAAACTATAGTTTCATCAGAGGGCAGCAGGCATCGTGGCACACAACAGAGGACAGACAGACGAGGAAGCGATTTGTCTCTTTTAAAGGCTTCCAAAGAGGGCCATACAGAGTTTTTAGCAAGCATTTGTATTTGGGGTATGGGGCCTTAATAACAGAGGAGATTCCTACAGTGAGGGAACTCTGGCCCAGGATATGGTGCTGGAGGAAGATAAAGTAAGGGGGACTGGCTCCGGGGGATGTGCTGAGGGTTAATTGTGAGGGAAAAGGGGAAGGCTGCATTCTGGGGAGATGTTGGGAAGGGAAGGAAACTCACTCTGAGGCCTGAGAAGACTCATCTAGGGAGGAAAAAAAAGTAGTACTATTCAGGCCCCGTGCGGAAAAGAGGGAGACACAGTTTAGACCTCAGAGACAGCACTGTTTGTATTTACACGTTTTATGTCAGACATTTCAAGAGTTTCACTGAATCTTCCATGAGGATTTTATAGGTAAGGTGAACAAATGTCTATTTTAGAAATTGAGGAAACTGAGGTTCAGAGAAACTACGTAACCTGCCCATGGTTTCACAGCCAGTAAGTGGCAGTCTTCTGATAGCAAGTCCAAGGTTCTTTCCACAATACCTCCCTCTTCATATCAGACTCCAGAAGGAATCTTAGGATGAAAATATACCGAGTTACACCAGTAACTGGGAGGGATTGATTGTGTTTGTTTTATGGGAACAGGTTCTGTCAGCTTCTGTAGTTGTTAAGGTTAGAGTATGAGACCAGAAGAGCAGCTTTGAAAGAGAAGCAGAATTTTTTCAGTTTTGCAGAGGAAGATGTCTGAAGGAATAGGCCTTCGGATAATGTGGGAGAGGCCCAGGAATCTTCCTGGATGAAAGGATTTTGCAGACAAGGGACAGAGGGAGAAAAACTAGATTTCCAGAAGGGTTCCTAAGGTAACACTAAAGCCATAGCCCCATTAAGTGCAAATCAAGGCAAGCACATGGCTGCTGCCTTCCTTCTTTGATTCTATCCGTACAACCTTGAGAGCTCTTCTTAGCCACCATCAGCCTCTTTCCTAGAAGCCCATTACTCTTCCAGCAGCAGCATACTAAACTGCTGTGTCTTGTTTGTGCTTGTTCAGGAGAACAGATGAGGTGGACGTGTGGGAGGTGGGGGACATACTGTTCTCTTTCTGAGTTTGCGTGGAATTTCCAAAGCTAGGCTCCTCTCTCACATCAGCCAAAGTGATGTGACTTGCTTCCCTCTGGCTGCCATTCCCAACTTTCCAGAGGCTGAGGTGCATGATTTCACGTATTGACGGGGGGTGGGGCAGAATTTGACTTTGAAGGTGGGGGAAATTCCCTTCAAACTAGATGTTCAAATTCGTGCTCGCTCACTACCCAATTCCAAGCTGCCTAGTAATCACTGGTATTATAAACAGGTAATTCCACCCTTTGGAAGAAGGAGGGGACTTAAACGATGAAAGCCAGACATCAGAGGCCTTTGAGGTTTATCGTGAAGCAGGCAAATATGCCATGATGACTCGAAGGCTCAAGTGGGACTAGTTTTTAGTGCTAACACGTGACTCACGCAACATGCAGCCACCTTTGTGCAGATCTTTCTAGGCAAATCTCCACTCGTGATAGGGAGATGTTTATCATATTACATTGCAGTGTTTCTTCAACAAGAGGAATGGTTCCTGAACAGGACGTAGCTTATGTTAATGATGAGCAAAGCTCTCTCGGGCATAAACCCGCTGATCCCATCATCTCGTTCACGGCCAGCCTGTTGGTTGAATGGTCACTGTAAGCAGCAGGTGCTAATGAGCTGAGCAAGCATTCTTTGGCCCACAGCTAGTTTGTGCAATTGGAGCCCTCCCCAGATTCTCATGGACAATCCCCAGATACCCCTTTTGCTCCCTTCACATGGAAAAGCCTCATGACCAAATTTTGGCATGACCTCTTCAAAGGAAATCCCCCTGTTATAGCAAGTTGCATTGGGGTTGGTAATCTCGTGTGATGAGCGTGTGAGTGTGAATGTGGCTCTGTTGTCCCCCTTTTGAGAATCAGTATGGTAATGCCCTTTCTCTCTTCCTCTGAGTTGAGTCAGGAAAGAAGTTGTGTCACCTTTGCTCCCCCGCCCCACTCCACAACCCAGTAGAAAGCATCAGACTTCAAGATATTGGCTCCCCACTTTGGAACTCAGTTTAAACCAGAACTTCCTGAGCATGTTAGCCAATAAGAATCCACTTGCATTCAATGACTGATTTACTCATCTAAAAGAAAGTTGAAAGTCCTTTTCTAGGTGCTAGGTGTGTGGAGATGAAAGAGATGTGATCTGAACTCTCAAAGAATCAGAGTTTGGTGATGGCGTCTAAGTTCTAATGCAAATGTGTTACTTGCTCATAATGGAGACATGCACGTGTTCTATGAGGGTCTTTGGGACCCTCAGCACCACTCAACACCTTGCGTGTTCAGCGGACTTTGCTAAAGAAGTATGGTTTGGGCCCTGAGACCAAGAGACCCAGAGTGGTGGTTGAGGGCGGGACAGGACCAGTACTGGTTTAGTGGAAATGCTGAGTTTGCTGTTGCCTTCCTCAGACAGAACCTCTTGATGTTGATATGCTGCTAAGAAACACATCTGCTAAGGAACACATCTGGCGCAGGGGCTGACTCTCCAGGGTGTAAATTTCCTAAGTAATGGCTTCTTCTTTCTCCTCTGATGCCTTTTGGGCATTTTATTGCTCCTTAGCACCTCTATGAGGAGAATTGTAGAAAGTGAGGAGGAGGTAGGGTGAAGAGGAGGAGGAGGTGCTGCTATTTCTAAATTTAGTGGAAAGGATGTAAAAGTGAAGCTAGAAGGGAAAGCCTGGAGTTTAGGGCTTTTACTTCCTCTGATTATCCTGTTTTCCTATTAGCCTAGGTGGTACTTGTAATAATAGTTACCACTAAGCACTAGGTGCCCAGCCTTCTGCTGAATGTATTGTATTTATTATCTCATTTAATCCTCAAAAGATCCTTATGATGTAGGAGATTATTAAGCCCATTTTGTAAATGAGGGAACAGCTCAGGGAAGTAAGTAATTGGCTGAAAGTCACATGGCTTCTAAGTGGAAGGGCTGGGATGGAACGGGGATCTCTCTGCCTCCAGAGCCCATGTTTTCATGGTATTGGGCTCCCTAACACCAGGTGTTCTGATGTTTCAGGTGAAGAGATTGTTTTCTGAAGGCTGCGTTGGAGGCTGTGACAGAGCACAGAGCCCTGTGGAGCTGATGGGGAGGCTTTCTCAATAACATGGCCCTTCGCCATTAGCCTTGCCATGACCACATTTTTCACCAGCGTACCCCCCTGGATTCAAGATGCAAAGCAGGAGGAGGAAGTGGGCTGGAAACTAGTTCCCAGGCCTCGGGGCCGGGAGGCGGAGAGTCAAGTGAAGTGCCAATGTGAAATCTCGGGGACACCCTTCTCAAATGGGGAGAAGCTGAGGCCTCAGAGCCTCCCCCATCCAGAGCAGAGACCGTATAGCTGCCCTCAGCTGCACTGTGGCAAGGCGTTTGCCTCCAAGTACAAGCTGTATAGGTAGGTGATACTCCCATACTTCTTCCTGCCCTGAGGTTTCCAGAGGATAAAGCCAGAGAGACTCCACTGAGTGTGGGACTTTATCTGTGGCAGAAGAGTAGAGGTTAATTTGTCCCATAAGTGTACCCTGAACGTCAGCCGTTTGAGGTCACTCACTGAAAAATAATGGTGGTATTTTTTATTCAAACACTAGAATCTGATGGGTACAATATCAGGTAGCCACGAACAAACTAGATAGAATTTTTTTTCAATACAGGTATACCTCATTGTATTGCACTTCACTTTATTGTACTTCTCAGATACTGCGATTTTTACAAATTGAAGGTTTGTGGCAACTCTCAGTCAAGAAAGTTGGACCAGTTTTCCAACAGCATTTGCTCACTTCATGTCTCTATGTCATGTTTTGGTAATTCTCACAAAAAAAGATTATAGTTTGCTGAAGGCTCAGATGATAGCTAGCATTTTTTAGCAATAAAGTATTTTTTAATTAAGTATATACATTGGTTTTTTAGACATAATGCTATTGCACACTTAATAGACCACAGTATAGTGTAAACATAACTTTTATATGCACTAGGAAACCAAAAAATTCATGTGACTCCTATTATTGTGATGTTCACTTTATCGCAGTGGTCTGGAACCAAACCTGCAATATCTCTGAGGTACGCCTGTGCTACTTTCCCCACCTGTGTCGGGTAATGGTCAGAATATTAGCCCCAAATTAGGAATCAGTTTTAGAAGTTAAGAAGGAAAAGGAGACCCTCAGGTCCAATCTGTAAATTTTAAAGTGCAGGCTCAGAGTGGAGAAGTAACTTACCCAAGGTCTATAGCTTCTTAGGTCCTGCAGTGCCTCTTCTACTGAACTAGCATGCCACTCAGATGATTACTTATGTCTCTGTAGAGTCCCTGGTGTCCTCTGGGTTGGAAGATTTCCTGAAACTTCTAAGCCCAAGAACCCCTACTTAAAGTGAAATGGAATGTGAAAGCCCTGGTGTAAAGCAGATAATGACAGAGCAGCTTTGAAGGGAGGGGGGCTCACTGGGACATAATTTTGATTTTATCCTTGCCTTTCCGTCAGAGGACCATGAACATGCCCTTTACCAATAATGTAGACTTCCCTGATGCACAGTCATTCATCTCTTGACTATTATTTATTGATCTCCTGCCACATACCAGGCACAGTGTTCAGTGATACGGACAGAATAGTGAGCCAGACAGATGGGGGTGCTGGCCCTCCTTGAGTTTACTGTCTAGTAGCAGGGACAGACAGTAAATGAGTAAATACAAGGACAAGATGACCACAGAAAGCCTCAGTTCCTTGTCTGGAAAACAGTTGATAGGAAGGAACTAAAACAGGTAACAGGGTAGCGTGTGGCCAGGATTGCCCTCATGACAGTTCTGTTGTCCTCAGGAATGCTTTGATTCTGTGTGCTCCTCTGTCTTAGGTGAATTCCAGTTGGGGCTGTCCTCTTAGACTTTCTTAGTGACAGTCTGAGTGTCAGTGGGAGGCTACAGGAAAGGTCCTGGGCCAGGAGACAGGAGCCTTGACTCCACCCTTAGTCACTGTATTTTAGGTGAATTACTAAACCTCTCTGGGCCTTTGTTTCCTCACCTTCAAAATGAGGGAAATAGACTGTGGATCACTCAGCATCTCCTTCTCATACGTTTTCATGCCAGTTGTGTCACAGGAGGTTAATAGTAACCCTCATAGGTGTGAGCATTCACACATAGCATGAGGGTAATGGGTACGATTGATAAGAATCACTGGGTGCTGTGCTAGAGACAGCAGTGGCATACCTAAGTGAACCTGGGTCTCAAGAAGGTCTGTGTTTAAATGCAGCCTCTGCCACTTACTGACTGGTGGGTGGGGCTGCCCTGTGCTTCAGCCTCTTAGGGAGAACAACGTTAATCACACATCTCACACAGGGCTTGCAAACCATGGGACTCCAAAGTCTTGCTGAGTTGATTCTGAATGTACTGTGGAGCTCTGGATTGCAGTTCCTGGATTCTGAGCTGCTTTCCAGACAGAAAGGAGCAGGAGCAAACCAAGGGACACTGAGGTGCCAGATCACTAAAAAAAAGTTTTTAAATGTTGCTGCTGTGCTCGCTTCGGCAGCACATATGCTAAAATTAAATGTTGCTGCTTTGTGTGGCAAACAATTTAAATGGTACCAATGGACATGCAGTGAAAAATGAATTGTCACACTCAAAGCCACTGTTCTCCTCCCCAAAGGCAGTTTCTTGTATGTCCTTGTTGAGACATTCAAACGTGTATTCCCTTCCTTCTTTATTTTCACAGGGGATTGTATTACACACACTATACTGAACTTCCTTTTTTGACTTAGCTCCCTATATCTTCGGATATTGTTCCAGATCAGGAAGTTTAGATACATTTCATTTTCCCTTTATTGTGTCATTTAAATTTTTATAAATACGCTTTTTTTTGCAAAGGAAATGCATTCAAAATTCAAAAGGTATATAATGAAAATTCTCCATCACACCCGTAAAAGCTGCCCATTTCTTCTTCCCATAGGTAGCCAGTGTTGTCAGTTTCTTGTGTAGCCTTCCAGAAATATTTTAAGCTCATACAAGCAAACATACATATATCTTCCCTCTTTTCATATGTATAGTACCATTCCATAGGCACTATTCTGTCTCATGGGTTTTTTTGACTTAAGTGTATCTAGGAGCTTGTTACCTGTGGTACGTATAAAGCTGCCATTATTTTAAAAAGTTGAGTTGGGAATTCTCTGGTGGTCCAGTGGTTAGGACTCTGTGCTTTCACTGCTGAGGACCCAGGTTCGATCCCTGATCGGGGAACGAAGATCCCACAAGCCTCATGGCCAGAAAAAAAAAAAAAGTTGAGTCATTTTATGGACATAGAATAACTTAATCAATTCCCTATTGATTGTTCCTGATTTTTTGCCACTAAAATCAGTGCTGCAAAGAATAGCAGTACATGATTTTGCAGGTGGTCAGGGATATCTATAGAATACAGTTGGCATGGTATTCCATTCCATTGCATGGCTGTACCATAGTTTTTGTGTCTGGTTGCCTGTTAGTGGACAACTCAGTTGTCTAGCCAGCCCTTGTGATCTCATTTCTTTCTCCTCTGTCCTCCATCCCTATCTCCAGGCACATGGCCACTCACTCAGCCCAGAAACCCCACCAGTGCATGTACTGTGATAAGATGTTTCACCGCAAGGATCATCTGCGGAACCACCTGCAGACCCATGACCCCAACAAAGAGGCCCTCCACTGTTCTGAGTGTGGTAAGAATTACAATACAAAGCTGGGCTACCGGCGCCACCTGGCCATGCATGCCGCCAGCAGTGGTGACCTCAGCTGCAAGGTGTGCCTGCAGACCTTCGAGAGTACCCAGGCCCTGCTAGAGCACCTGAAGGCCCACTCACGCCGGGTAGCAGGTGGCACCAAGGAGAAGAAGCACCCCTGTGACCACTGTGACCGGCGGTTCTATACTCGTAAGGATGTGCGGCGGCACCTGGTGGTCCACACAGGCCGGAAAGACTTCCTGTGCCAGTACTGTGCCCAGCGATTTGGCCGCAAAGACCACCTGACACGTCATGTCAAGAAGAGTCACTCGCAAGAGCTGCTCAAGATCAAGACAGAGCCAGTGGACATGTTAGGCCTACTCAGCTGCAGCTCCACAGTCAATGTGAAGGAAGAGCTGAGCCCTGTGCTGTGCATGGCCTCTCGGGACGTGATGGGGGCCAAGGCCTTCCCTGGCATGTTGCCCATGGGTATGTATGGTGCCCACATCCCTACCATGCCCAGTGCGGGCGTGCCACACTCCCTGGTGCACAACACGCTGCCCATGGGTATGAGCTACCCTCTGGAGTCCTCACCTATCTCTTCCCCAGCTCAGCTTCCTCCAAAATACCAGCTTGGATCTACCTCATACTTGCCCGACAAATTGCCCAAAGTGGAGGTGGATAGTTTTCTGGCGGAGCTTCCTGGAAGCCTGTCTCTCTCATCCGCTGAACCCCAGCCCGCCTCACCTCAGCCGGCGGCAGCTGCGGCCCTCCTAGATGAAGCACTGCTCACCAAGAGCCCCGCCAACCTCTCTGAGGCCCTCTGCGCTGCTAATGTGGACTTCTCCCACTTACTGGGCTTTCTTCCTCTCAACCTGCCCCCATGTAACCCACCCGGGGCCACAGGAGGCCTGGTCATGGGCTACTCCCAGGCCGAGGCGCAGCCCCTGCTCACCACTTTGCAAGCTCAGCCTCAAGATTCCCCGGGAGCTGGGGGACCGCTGAACTTTGGGCCTCTGCACTCCTTGCCTCCTGTCTTCACCTCTGGCCTGAGCACCACCACCCTGCCTCGTTTCCACCAGGCATTCCAGTAGCCCCAAGGAGGACCTCAGCTCAGTCTTGGCTCTGTCAGGGAGTCTCAGTATCTACCCCATATGCATCCCCCATGAAGGCAGCTGAGCTTTCAGAGCTGAGTTCAAAAAGAAAAATTTCAGTATCTGTATGGAGCACTTGGTTTGGGGGCTTGGGCTCCAGGATCAGTTCCAGGAGGAGCCTTGAGCCCCAACCCCATGAAAAGATTTCATACAATAGGACTTCAGGTATTTTTACTTTTTTTTTTTAATCTGAATCGGGAGCCACACCTAGCCCTCTCCCTCTCCAAAGCATCAGAACCACCTCCTCTTTGGAGAAGGGAGAGGTCTCGGAGACACAGAGGGTTTTACTTTGGATGACCTCGAGAGAAATAGCCCAAGAAGCCCGTCTTCTGGTCCCAGCCTGCAGACCCCACAGCAGTTGGTCAGGCCCTGCTGCAGCGGGTCCATTGCCTGCTTCCAACCAACAGGCAGGAGAGAGGGCCTCTGTTCTTCCCATCACCTCCATCCCTCCTGTCCTAGCACCTCCATTTTCAGTGTTTTCCAGCAACGGTACCGTTTACACAGTCGCCTCAGACACACCATTTCACCTCCCTTGCTGAGCTGTATAGCCTTAGAATGATTGCAGTGAACATTGTTTACACACCGTGAATCCATTCCCACCAGTCCATTCCAGTTGGCACCAGCCGGAACCATTTGGTACCTGGTGTTAACTGGAGCCCTGTTTACAAGGCGGAGTCGGGTCTCACTGACTTCTCTTCACTTGAGGTCATATTTTTCCCCTGTGGGGAAATAAACTGACTTTGGACTGCTTCAGTCTCTGCCATCTTCCATGACTGTGTCTGTTCCTGCCTTCGTCGGCAGAGTCCACAGGAGACAGGCAAGAAGATTGGAGCGGTTTTCTCACAGGTCTGCAATTCTGTTTTTCTCCAAGTACATCATGACCCCCTCATCCTCCTTTTGAACTGGAGAGGGGAAGAAATGAAAGGCATGCCCACTTCCATCACCTCCCGCCCCAATTCTCTAATCCCCACCCTGAATGTCATGAGCTTTTATCATTAGTCTTGGAATGAGGGACTCCGGTTCTAGGCTGGTGTGGATAGCAAAGGACAGGGTGAGACCTCATTTGTCTCTCTCCTGTCTCTTTTCCAGGAAGTTGTGGAATTGTTGGAAGAAGAGTTTTCAGAAAGTTAGGACTGGGCAGATAGTTGAGTCCTAATCTCTGGGTGTACATCATTGCCTCCCATACCAAACTTTTTTCTTCTCTACAGTGTTCCTCCTCTCTCCCACTTTGCAGTCCCGTGGACTCAGGCCCACTGTGCCTAGGCTTCTCTGCTCTCCATCAAAGAACTTCCATCTTCCTTTTGTGGCCCCTCTCACTTTTGCCCCCAGTACTCAGCAAGTTTCTTGCAACAAATGATTAGTTCTTCTCTTCTGACTTGTGGGGCTCCCTGCCACAGATAGCACAGCTCTTGCCCAGCTGAACCCCATCACTGCTTCATCTCAGTTCTGCATGGGCTTCGCTCTTCCCACTCGTGGAAGGGAGGCAGCTCAGGGACCACCAGTGTGGGGCCCTCTTGAGACACTTCCACTCTGATTCAGAAACACACTCCTACCTCTTTACTGTTAACTCCTACAGATGCAGCCAGCAGTTTCTGGGCACTTCTCTCAGCAGGTGCCTCGTACTGGCTTCTCCACTAGGGTTTCAGGACAAACTACCGAGGAACTGCCTCAGCCTCTTCCCAGTCCTCCCCCCCTCCCCCTTCTGTCTAGAAATCACTTTGGTTTATCATCAGGAACTGAGCAGGTCCAAGACCCAGGCTTCTGCTTCAGCCTAGGCCAGTACTCTTCCTTTGAGGTGAAAGCCTTATAATGTAGCTCCCTGGCCCTTGATTGGAAGCAATGTGGAGTGAATAAGCATGTTTTAATTTAGGCAGGCTAGTTTGGGATACCTTTTTTGAAAAACAAAACCAGATATAAAGGTGTCTGGCAAGATTAGAATCAGAGTAGGTGATTTGCTTCTAAAAATTAGTTTCAGTGAGTCCCAGGGACTAATTAAGGTTTACTTTTAAAAGCGTCCCCTTGGTACGCAGCCACCTCCTGCATGCTGTGCATGTTATTGGGACTCGTGTATAGGAAATGGTATGTGAGGATCCAAACAGGACTCTGCTGCCATTCTCCTTGTCGTCTCTGATCTTCATCACTAGACCCAGCAACCCTCACCCCTCCCTGCCACCTTCCCTGCATCTTTCGTTTACAGAGGCAAATGGGCCTCTGGCCACAGAATATAAAGTCTTGGGCTGTTAGAAGAGTCGCCTCCTCTTTGCTCTTTCCTGTCCCTTCCTTGAATACTCTCCCCCATTAGTGATGCTGGGAAACTCATAGGACAGGCAAAGCAACTATTTAAAACCTTGTAACTGGGGCCTTGCCCTTCCTCCCCTCACTTCTTCCTTCCGTCCTGTTCCTCTTTTCTTCTTCCTTCAATGCCCTTCCCACCCACAAGGAATTTTCCTATCACTGTGAACTTTGCTGGTGCAGAGGAACATTTGCCTTCACCTTTTTTGTTTTTTTTTTGGACCATAGACACCCAGCCATTTCTTAAACCTCCCCAAAATTTAAAAAAAGAAAAAAGTCCATATTGGCCTGGTTGTTCAAAGGATAAGAATAGCTTTATCCTACTCAGTACCAAACCCACTTCAGTACCCTTACTGAGGCCATGAGAGCCTAGGGGTTTCTGCCCAGGACAGGAGCCACGGCATGTTGGCAGAGACCAAACGGGGACCAGGAAAAGGGGTGATGTTCCCTTCCCCCACCACCTCCAACCTCTGTCAGCATGAGCTGCCTTGAACAGTGGCAGGCAACTCCCCCTCTGCACAGTAGCTGGTCAGGGTTGAGTGCAGTCCTGGGGGCCAGGGGATAGCATGCCCAGTTGTGTCAGCTCAGAGGATCTGTGCGCATCTTAGAGATGTGAGAGGTAGGGAAAGGAATAACAATGAGGTTTTTTCCCTCACCCTTTTACAATGGCATTTTGTTAATGGAAATCTGGGAAGCAAGTGTGATTACTTCTTTTGCTCGTAGATATTGTCCTAAGTTGAAATTCTCCCACTGCCCTAAACTTTCCCCTAGTAGCCCTTTAAGTCCCCACCCCCCTTCTTTTTGGTAGCTGTTTTCTCCACCCTCTCTCCACCTCCTCTTTATCTAGGAGCTGTTTTTAAGCACGATTTTTTTTTAACAGTTTATATTGTACAGGATCAATATTTTGCTTTTTAACAAGGATATTTATGTAATAAGAAACTTTGCCTTAGGCAGGTGTTGGCCAGAAAAGTCCAGATTCCTCTGGGACCCCACCCTGGCCTCTCCTGGAACTCTGAACCTGCTGTGGAAGGAATTGGCTGTAACCTCACCACTGGAGAGTAGGGTCTGTGGCGAGGGAAAGGGGTGTACTGGTGTGACAGGAGAAGGATCCACCATCATAATCTAGTGCCTCTATGGAGGGGTTTGGAAGAAGCATTCCAGTTCAGTTTCTTCGGGTGTGAGCTTCCTTCCTTAGCGGGTTCTCCCCATAGTGCACCTCTCCACCTCCTACTGTTTGGCACTAGCACTCCTGAAACACCACTTCTCATACACCTCCCTCCCTCCTTCCCAGTGGTCAAGGCTTTGGAGCCACTCTTTCGGAACGCCAGATTATTTAAAGAGAGAAAAATACAAGACAAAACCTTCTAGCACTTTGTAAACACAGTGAATAACCTCTTGGAGTATTTTTGGCTTTATATAAAACAAGGTTTTTAATTGTAAAATATAAGTGCCATTAGAAAATGCACAGGGCCTATCTTTGTTAAAGTAGATTTTTCAATGTTTTGCAGAATTACATTTTCAAAAAAAGTTTTTATAATGAAGTTGTTTATTAAAAACTTCTGAATGATGTGTTTGGAAGTTGTGAACCTGTTTGATTGGGAAGGGGTAGGAGAGAGCTTGAAGAAGAACTGGAATCCAGACATCTTTAGCATCCAAGGGGATGATGAGTATAGGGCAGACAGTAACAACCTTTCACATTAGCACCTACAAACTTTGCACTTTGATATTAAAGATCTTTGAGGTAAGTGGCATCATGCCACCACTTAATATTTTTGGGTGCAAGAGTCAGAAAAACCAAATTGGCTTAAATGGTGAAATTTCATGTCACTGAAAATGCCAGATGAAGTGCAGTCTTGAGGTTAATATTGATCCAGCAGCTCAAACATGGTTGGCCTTAGCATTCCTGTGTTTGCCCTATCTTGTGCAGTTGTGACTTCATCCTCCAGCCCTTCAAAATGGTTTGTCCCTTTATGTAGAAGAATGCTGCCATAATTCCAGTCATTTTCACACAGTGCTGACCACAAATGGAGAGGGACCCTTTCTGGGAGAGAGGAGTCCTTTATTCACGTAAGCGTCTCCTGTCTCATTGGCCATGATGGCATTGTGTGCCATCCCAAAACCAGTCACTATAGGCCAGTGATGACAAGGCTGAGACAAGGGTTGGAGTAGTTTCTCAAAGGAAATTTGGGGTACTGTTAGGATGAGGAATGGATGCTGGTTGTCCAAGAAAAAAATGTCATCCATTGCCCAAGGCGCACAGCTGGTAAGTGACAGAGCTAGGACCTAACCTTGACCACACTCGTGCCTACCCATTTGGTTCAGACAGACTCTTGAAAGGCCATTATGGCTTCACCTGATGTTGCTTGGCCAGTCTCCAGTGAAGATAGTCATCACTATTCCGGGCCCCATCCTTTGTACTGAGATCCTCCTGTCCAGGGCTCAGACTGAGCTTGCCTTTCTGGGGTCTGGAGCCAGTGTTCATAGCCAAGCAGTGCAAATCACTGCAGAGACCAGCCCAAGAATTTATGGGACGTTAAGTGTTAATGTGTGTAACAGGTGCTTTATGTACAAAGGCAGTGGGCTGGCTGTTCATCTCTTTGGCCTTCTGTTTACTTGACTAACTGTCCACCCCAGTGGGTTGGATCCCTGCTAGGGCCCCAAGAGAATCCACCTTGCCCTCTAGGGGATGCATACCCAGGAGTGGGTCTGGGGGCTCAAAGCTATCTTTTCCATTGGATGGGAGGAAGCTGAAGGCCTTCTGGAGGAGGTGGCAAGGACTTCCAGGTGAGCGGGTGGGGTATTGGGTGTATTGACCTCCATGGGCCATAAGTTTGGGAGCTGAGATCACAGGAGTGCAGGTGCACTTGCAGGATCAGGGCTGCGGGGGCTGGTCCATCCAGGCTCTTACTATCTGTGCACAGACCCTGCACTTCAGACTAGAGTTCACATTTGTGAAATGTCTGGAGCAGAGAAAGGGGTAGCCCCTAGGCCTAGGACGAGGTGAAGCCATGTCCACCCTTCAGCCTGTCAGCCCAGGAAGATCCAGCTCGTTCAGGGAAACCAGGCAGAGGCCCACTTGCTTCCTGGTTGGCAGCATTTGGGATCTTCCCTCGCCCTTAGATCCTTCTACTCAGACCTTGTTTCTGCCTTTCCCCACAAATATTTTGAGCACCTCTGTGTGCCTGACAATTACTATGCAAGTTTCAGTCTAGTCAGCCTCTGCAAAGGATACCTCTTGGGTCCTCTGCATATGCCTGAGTAATTTATCCTGTGAAAGCTGCCCCAAAGCCACAGTCGAGTGTGGGCATCAGCCGACTCCCACCTGTCCACCGCAGATGCGGGGAACAGTAATTGCCTGGCGTGGTGGCTCTGGGGTTGGGCCTGATCCTGGGTGCCTGCTCAGAGCTGTTCGCTGCTTGGTACACCCCTGCACTTCACCCGATTTCCACCGCCGACTCCCAGTTCTGTCTGGGCGCCCGCAGTCGCATCCCCACCGGGCAGCCCCCTGCCACTCCACCAGGCGCCTAGTCCCAAGACAGCCGGGGAACCCTTGCGAATCACATCCGTAAAAGCGTCGGGGCGCAAGGGGCGGGGCGAGCCCCGTAGGAGAAAATCGGGCCTCCCTGCCTACTACCCGCGGTCCCGCTGGGGTCGCTGCCAGCCATCCAGCCGCCCCTCTCGCTGAACCCGCAGTATCGCCCGCGCGCCCCGAGCCCCTCCAGGCCAGAGGCTCCCGCAGGTGATGGCGGACGAGGGTGCGGGGGGCCTGGAAACCGCCGCGCGCCCGGTCACCGCGTCTGGGGCCCAAGAGGCTGGGGGACGCGGGCATCCCGACCCCGCAGCCCGCCCAGGGACCGTCCTACCTTCCCCGGGGGGCCGGGAAGCGGCCTCCGCGGCCACTGGCCTGAGCCCAGAAAACGGCCTTTTCGGGGACGGGGGCCCAGAAACCTGTGGCGCAGAAGGGTGGGAGGCTCGGGCTGGAGCCGGCGGGAAGGCAGAGGAAGTGACGACTGGGGAGGGCGCCATCTTCATGGAGGAGGCGGAACGGGAGGTGGGGAAGCAGCCTGTGGGAGAGGAGATGGAGGTGGCCGAGAAGCTGGTGCGGGGGGAGAAGCTGGAGGTGGGAGCGGAGGCGCAGCAAGGCCCGGGGCCCCTGAACTTTGGTGGCCCAGTTGTGGACCCGCTGGAAGCCATCCAGTGGGAGCTGGAGGCCGTGAGTGCCCAGGCAGGCAGGGCCTACCTGCGGCTGGAGCGCAGGTTTGGGCGCATGCACCGGTTGCACCTAGCCCGAAGGAGCTTCATCATCCAGAATATTCCTGGCTTCTGGGTCACCACCTTCCTGAACCACCCGCAGCTGTCAGCCATGATCAGCCCCCGAGGCGAAGACATGCTCTGCTACCTGATGAATTTGGAAGTGAGGGAGCACAGGCACGCCAGGACGGGCTGCAAGTTCAAGTTCAGTTTTTGGAGCAACCCCTACTTCCGGAACAAGGTGATAGTGAAGAAGTATGAGTGCAGATCCTTAGGCCGGGTGGTGTCAATTGCAAGTCGCATTTGCTGGCACTGGGGCCAGGAACCTCCAACTCTGGTACACAGGAACCG